CGTTTCTCGTTTCTCAGATAGTGCAGCACTATTTCACTATCAGTCCAAAGATACGTCCTGGAAATGTTCAGTTCAAGTTCCTCTCGCAACATCTTAAACATCCGGGTTGCGAGTACAGCTGCTTGCAATTCCAGTCTTGGAATACTAACAAATTTCACAGGTGCATTTCTGGCCTTACCAATAATGAAGGCGCAATGAACTCGTCCATCGGGGTACTCGCTTCGCAGATATGATGATGCGCCATAACCAATCTCTGACGCATCTGAAAACACATGAAGCTGTAACTTGCATTGACGCGGGTCACCGTCCGACAGGAAATAGGACCGAGGGATGGACAACTCGGACAACAAGGGTAACTCAGTGTTCCATGCTCTCCACTTAGACAGAAATTCTTCGCTCAGGGGCTCATCCCATCCTATGTTAGCCTTCCATAGGTCTTGAATCAGGCGTCGTGCAGACAAAGCCACTGGTGCTGCGAAACCCAGAGGATCAAACAATGAACAAACAGTGGAGAGTATACCGCGCTTTGTTTCAGGGCGAACTAGGCTTCTTATTTCGAACCCCAACGTATCATCTCCAACAGACCAACGTACTCCGAGTGCACGCTCTATAGGTAGCTCGTCCAGGTCAAGGTTTAGATCTGGCTTAGATCGCTTATCATTTGGGACAGCACTTAGTAGTCTCTTGGAGTTCGACGTAAACTTGGTCAAGTTAAATCCGCCTCGAGCGAGCAGTTCTACCATGTCATGGGCTAGGCGAATTGCGCACTGTTCATCATTCTCAGAGGGAAGAGCATCGTCAACATAGAAATTTCTTTTCACAGCTGTAATAACACTAGAGCTGTACTCTTCGGCATTGTCGTCGGCCACACGGCGCAAAGTTGAGTTTGCAATACAGGGGGAGGAAGCCGCTCCGAAAATATGCACTTGCATGACGTACGTATCAGGGGGATTATCATATCCATTTGTCCACCACAGGAACCTCAAGGAATCCTGGTCTTCCTCACGCACACGTATCTGATGAAACATCTTTTCGATGTCGGCAGCGAACGCTATTTTTCCCTGGCGGAAACGTAGGAGAACACCAACCAAGTTGTTGGCTACATCTGGTCCTGTCAGCAAGTTCTTATTAAGCGAAGTTCCCTCGCATTCAGCTGCTGCATCGAACACAATGCGCACCTTGCCTGGTTTGGTAGGACTGGTTACAGGGTGATGCGGAAGATACCAATGTGTTTTAGACTCTTTGTTTAACTCTTCTTCTGACAACTTGCGAGCGAACCCACTGCTGATATAACTATCCATAACTTCGCGGTACTTAACGGCCATTTCTTCGTTGCCAGGTTTCGTAAGACGGCGTCTCAGGCACTCTAGACGGTGCTTGGCCATGGCTACATTATTCGGAAACTGGCGTTCTTTCTCCTTCCACAGCATACCGACTTCATACCGACCGTCCACGCAGCGGGTGGTGTTCTCAATTATCTTCAAGGCTATTTTGTCTTCCACCGAGAGGGGTTTCTCATTTGATTTCAGTGTCCCGTAATCCTCCAGATTCCAAAATTTTTCAATGAGAGAACGCGGTTCAGGGTCAATCGAGACAAAGTTTGCTGAAACCCCTTGACGGCAATTGGCACCATAAGGACCACAAACGCACCAGCCCAAGGGATAACGACAGCCATAGAGCCCTTTCTTCTTATCTTCAGGGACTCTAACTTCCTTCTGTAAATGTGCATAGGGAATATTGTTTCCAACAAGTATAGAGACTCTCTTGATGTCAACCTCCGGGAACTCCACATCACGTAAGTGCGGGTACTCAATAGTGTCAATCTGCTCCGGAAGAGTACAGCGCGACTGGTTGAGGTTAGGCAGGACATAGGCCTCCGAAACGTCAATACTCTCCCCGGAAGTATCCACCGAAGTCAAGGTAAAGGACACACGTTTCGACTCTACCACATTGTCACTACTTGAAATCGTGTTAATTCCGATTTGCACGGGTGTTCCTTGAATACCAAGGTGATCAACTAAATCTTGTTCAATGAGGGTGTCAGTGCAGCCACTGTCTAAGAAGGCGTAAGTGGATACAGTTTTACCATTCTCAGCAGATATAACAACAGGTATAACGTTCAACAGCACTTTCGCTTGCACAGTCGCAACGGCAGCGGACGATATTGGCACCTTTCCCACAGACTTGTCAGACTTGTCTCCGCTCGCGGCTGGAGTGACATTTCCCCTTTCGCTGTTTGGGGATTTAGGCGTCGCCAATGGCTTGTCAGACTTATCACTAGACTCTCTATTATTCCGTGGGATGAAGCGACGACCACCATAATTACTTTCAGAGTGCAGAAGAGGAATGTGTCGACCGGAACATACTGAACATGCTGGTGGGTCCGGACAGGAGCCAGAACCGTGTCCGGGCCTTTCAAGACCACAATTAAAACAAAATCCACAGGATGCCGCATACTGTCTTCGCACTGCCACGTGTTTGCACTGTTTGATAATAGGGCATTCTTGGAGTTTGTGACGCTTACTTGATTTGCAAATTCCGCAGTGTTCAGTGTTCTCAGAAGCAGGAGTTTTATGATCAACGCCGGTAGTACTGATTGTGGTGTTCTTTACTGGAAGCTTTGGAGGAAGTTTGGTATTCTTGTTTTCCCGCTTAAATGTCTGCAACCCGAACACCGGGTCATTTCTGATAGACGCTTGTTTGTGCACAAAATCAGCGACGTCCTTTAATCGAGCGGATCTTCCGGACTTCACGAGCTCGTAGTTCACGGTTTGCCACTTCAGGATTAAGTCGTTAGGTAAACGGTTCACGATGCGCCTGAGGTTCGTCGCTACGCTCGCCTCGCGTTCAACGTCTCCCTTGAGGATCCTGGTGGCTGCATTTAAGTTCTCAGAGAAATTGAGAAGACCAGTATTGTCGCCGTACGCCAACTTGGGGCCAGATGCGAGCTCTTCCACACATGCTTGCGTCACTCTCACCGCTTGGCCAAAACGTTCCTCCAACGTTTTCATAATCTCGTTAAACGTACAACCTCTATTACGCTTCACAACCTCTAACGCTTCTCCCGCCACGAATTTAGGCAGATACTCCACTTGCTGGGCATCAGTGAGCAGGTCGCTTTCGAGGTGCGTACGAACTTGTTCACGAAAAAAGGGGAACTCGGCTGGATTACCACTGAACTGTGTCGGCTTTATTCCGCTAAGATATTGTGCTTTCCACATTGCGGCAACATGATCACGGGGAGCCTGGTCCATGCTGGAGACGGTCTGTGACCTCCCGAAGTTAACACGTTCAGGGGACTGGGTCGAGTTAATCCCCGCAGAGGGAGTGGTGGTGTTTAATCCCTTCACAGACGATTCATTGTGGCTCAACATAGTGTCTGACGGTCTTGAAACTGCTGGATACTTTGGCTCCGTTGATTGAGGTGTTCCACTGGATATCACATACACGGCACTCGATTGACTGTTAAACCCATCTCTAGAAATATACTCAGACGTGACTGGGGTGGAGTGTGATTGCTTGTTAACAATAAACGTAGAAGTGTTCAAGGCACTAGGCACAACAGGGGGGAGTTTGCTTTCAGTCAAGTTATCCATTTCAATTTTCCATTCAAGCTCAGCCAATGTTGCTTCCTCTTCAAGGCGCCTAAGTTCCATCCTTTGCTTATATTCATGAGCCACTCTTGCTGCCTCTGCATCTTCCTTTGCCCTAGCTCTTGCTAAGTCTAGTTTCATTTTAGACACCAGTGCCCTCTTTAGTGATTTCTTCTGTGAGGAAACTGATGATGCCTCAGAATGTTTGGTAACATGAGTAGCAACGCTGTGCACTGACTTATTGTCATCTTGTTTCGGATCCCAGACTGGTAGTCCGCGGTCCATTCCAAGTTCGTCATGCCGGGGGTCTGGTCTTCTAAACAAACCCTCACACTCATTGATAATATCGTCCACTTCACGTTTCAGAGTAGAATAACGTTCTTGTACATGTTCTAAGCGTTTTCTCTCGTTAATTCCTGCAAGGTACCTCCCATGAAGTCCCTCGAGCCTGTCCCATTTTTCCAAGAGCAAGTCAACAGATTTCTTAGCTTCCTCTGGACTCAGTGTTACATGAATTTCAGACTGAATTTCTTTTAATAAACTGTCTATTTCCTTGCTAATGTTCGACCACTGCATTGCCGTACTCCTCTGGTCCCGCGAGTCCCTTTTCCGATCCGATTCCAAAAATTCAACGCGAGTAGTCGGCGGGGGCCTGGGACGAAAATGATAGCCATCGCCTTCCCGCGAAGCGCTCAATGGCTGTGAAAACACATTCGTAGAAACACAAGAAGGTAAAGAAATATCGCTCCGAGTTGAAACCACAGGTAACTGAATCGAAAAATCGGGCAATCCACGATCCATTCCAGACCCAGCGTAATCCAAACTTATACCACGACCACTGTCGAAGCCAACGTTCAATCTATTCGAAGCATCCATCGATCACACTTGAAAACATGCAATTCCAATAGAACTTTTTTCACTGATGTTGGGGATAAGCACAGATTTCTTCGACTCAAACGGTGAAAACTAAAACAAAAATACAAAACATGTAGGTAGAGAGCAAAATAGAACTGAAAAACGAACCAAATACTTACAAGTTCTGTGCTCTCTCTACCATACAAACAACGCAACAACTATCACAGATCAACACACTAGTCACATGGAAAAAGAAGTCACGTGACCAGTGCTCAGGTCCCTATCAAAAAAACCTAACAGTTTTCGGATAATTTTCATGTCCGATTTTTAAATTAGATTTGTCCCGAACACTTTTAATTGTATTTTCGAAAATAACTCACTAAAGGCTTTATTTGGGCAAAATATGAAGAAATTGAAAATTTTGAAACTGTCGCCGGATTCTCGATATTTACAGAAACTGGCTCTTAAAGCTGAAATGTTCCGCTTCCAGTAGAAATACTTTGTTTACTGAAAACTAAAAAGGGCGCTGCAAAAATTAAGTTTTTGTTTTAAGTGGCCGGATACTGGAAACGGTCGGATACTGGGCAACATACTGTACTCGTCGTGCAGGTATTATCTTTTTTGGTACACCCTCATAAGCATCGTCCTTTATCTTTACTTGAAAGTTTCAGTGATAGTTAACTTGTGCCAATATCAGGAATCTTGCAACCATTATCGAGTTTGGTTTGCGGTATGCCCATCCTGTTACTTTGGTAAAAAAAATACCCTTGTAAGAACAGACTAAAGCTTGCTTTAGGTAAAAAAAAAAAGACATTTTTGGCGTTATTCTTAGTGTCTTTTTTTTCCTTTGAAATATAGAAATAACATTTCTGTGGAAGAAAACACTAAAAACGGAACTTTCATATTCCAAGTAAGAGCCACTGATGCTGACTATGGCAATAATTCCATCATAACTTACTCTTTGGTGCCCAGTGAGTACGCAACGAAATTCTCTATTAATGCTTCATCGGGGAAAATCACTGTTATTGGAAACTTGGATCGCGAGAACACGAGTGAAATCACCTTACGCATCAAGGCAACTGACGGAAAGTTCACAGTAACGTCAGAGCTATTTGTCATAATAACCGATGTCAATGACAATGAGCCCATATTCATCAGCAGGTGAGAAAGAATACGTGAGGTCTTTTACAGCTAATGACGCTAGACTCTATAGTCCCTTGAGAAACCTCGAGAAAGTAAAATACAACTTACGCGGGTCCTTCTGCCATGCTTAACAAAATACCTGGTTCACTAAAAGCGAAAAGGGAGCCAAGGGTGTTACAATGTTCTAAAAAGTATGTGAAAGTAACAAAATGTACATTTCTCCTTGACGTAGTTTTCTCACGGTGATTAAGTACATAATTATTTTTCAACCCATTCAATTTTTGCAACCCATTCTAGCAGTCACAACTCGGAAAAATGTATACCATCCCGGTTCCACTTCTACCTTTCCGGTTAGATATAGAAAATGCAGTCCGCGAAACAAGCCGTACACACGAAATCAATTCCCTTCTGAATGAGTGAAGAAAATTTCCATAAGGAGTTGAGTAGAATACATTATACAGATTTTATTATATATCCTAAGCTTTAGTTATACTTATAGATATGAAATAAACATTGTCCGGATAATGTACACAGCTAATTCATCGATTCTACACGGCATAGAAGAAACTGGCGGGATACTGGCCTCCGTTATCCCAAACAAATTGAATTTCAAGAAGAATTTAAATTTTCTGAAAACCCGACTTCTTTAAGAGTCTTAGTTTCCTTGAAAATATCACATATGCCCAACCCTTATTTGAGCAGCACTAGTTTTAGTGCGCAGTTAACAGCGTAAATATTAGCCATCAAAAGTTTACTCACCTGAACAGAACGGCGCCTTGTCATGCCTTGTGCAACTGTTTCTCAAGCTGTAAACCCGCCAAAAAGTGCATTTTAAAGCTGAAATGTTCCGCTTCCAGTAGAAATACTTTGTTTACCGAAAACTAAAAAGGGCGCTGCAAAAATTAAGTTTTTGTTTTAAGTGGCCGGATATTGGAAACGGTCGGATACTGGGCAACATACTGTACTCGTCGTGCAGGTATTATCTTTTTTGGTACACCCTCATAAGCATCGTCCTTTATCTTTACCTGAAAGTTTCAGTGATAGTTAACTTGTGCCAATATCAGGAATCTTGCAACCATTATCGAGTTTGGTTTGCGGTATGCCCATCCTGTTACTCTGGTAAAAAAATACCCTTGTAAGAACAGACTAAAGCTTGCTTTAGGTAAAAGAAAAAGATATTTTTGGCGTTATTCTTAGTGTCTTTTTTTTCCTTTGAAATATAGAAATAACATTTCTGTGGAAGAAAACACTAAAAACGGGACTGTCATATTCCAAGTAAGAGCCACTGATGCTGACTATGGCAAAAATTCCATCATAACTTACTCTTTGGTGCCCGGTGAGTACGCAACGAAATTCTCTATTAATGCTTCATCGGGGAATATCACTGTTATTGGAAACTTGGATCGCGAGAACACGAGTGAAATCACCTTACGCATCAAGGCAACTGACGGAACGTTCACAGTAACGTCAGATCTATTTGTCATTATTACTGATGCCAATGACAATGGACCAATATTCAAAAAATGTGAAGCACAGGTAATATTGCAGGAGCCAGCATCCCCGCAAACTCAACTGTTTCATGTTTCAACCACCGATGCGGACTCCGGATCTAACGCTATCATCAAGTATTCTGTTGTCGAAAACGAGGAAGGAGCCTGTAGTTATCTAGATATAGACCAAGATGGAAACGTCTACAGCAACAATTCACTGCCGTGGGAAACTACTTGTAACGTTACCATCCGTGCCTCAGATGGAGCCAAAACAATTGAATGCGTTGTTGATCTCCGTGTAGCGATGACCCCTGGCAAGACAGAAGGCCGCACAGGTTAGTTAAAAACATTTTTTAAAGCCTTTGAATTAGTTTTATATCAATATCGATATTACTGGTTAAAATGAAAGTAAATGAACTTAGTTGCAAAGGCCATTATAAAACACGATAGAGATCGTCTCATTTGTATATTTTTGAATCACTGAGCTTTGAAAAACCAAATCAAGAAAAACGCTCTTTCTAGTCTAGAACTGTTGCAATTAGGATACCTTCTAAACCTAAACCTCCTCAGCAAAGTGTGTTCCTTTTCTTTCTTTTCATCGACGCCCGGAATCGAAAGTAGTTTGCTGAGTACAAAACGCTGAATAAAAGTATCTCAAACAATTACACAAAACTGCTTTAACCTGTGGTAATTTCTGCGGTTGCCAGTTAAGAGTAGGATTCAAATACCTTTGACGACGCTACTCAGAAAAAATTTCTCTTATATATTTGCAACTTATACACTTTCATTTTTATTTCCTAGGCTTTCCAACGGAAGCTAAATATTCCCTGATTGCCGCATTTGTCTTCCTTCTAATTGTCGGGGCCATTGTGTTAATCTTCATCAAAAAAAGGCGTCTCAGAAGGTAATGCTGCCAAAGTTTGGCAGTCTATTGTTTTATTTTATTTTATTTTTTTTTTGCTCATTTTCTTGTATATAGAATCTGCTGCGGAGTCATGGAGCCAAGTTCTCCCGCAGGTCCCAACTTAATTCACTAAGCGTTTAATCCCTTTGCGCTAGGGTGAAGAGCTTGCTCGCTCATCAAATTTCTGCTGGGACAAAAACCGGGGACGGATTTTAAAGAGTCCTCCCTTAGTCAAACATATTTAAGTTTTTTGGGATAGGTAGCTAATTGGAAATTGTAAAACAATCCTATGCTTCGAATAATACCCGCGGATCCTCGAGAAAAATGCTGTCTGATTAACGCCATGGTAAGAAAGTAGTATAGCACTTGGGGGTACCGGCACAGTTTTCCAAGATTATTTTCCTATTTATTCTGTGCTCCTATTTTTCAGAACTTTTTTCCAATTTTGGATTTCTTGGGTTGGCCTCAAGACTCGGAAAATCGATTGAATCGGACGCACGAGAAAGATTCAAGCGATCGCCGAGACACGGGGATGGTGGGGCATTAAAATCTCAATTGAGCTTGGTGGGAAGTGAGATTCTGTTGATATTGGCTTCAACAGAAACTCGATGGCTCAATTTTAGTCATATATAACACCCCATGTAACACAACCATTGTAATCAAAGGGAAGCTGTGATTCTTTTTTTTTGGCACCGCAGTCTGAGCGTAGCGAAGACGAGGAGGGGATGAAAAAAAGATAAAATCTCGGGGGCGGCTAGGAGCCGAGGGCGACGATGGCCGGGTCGCCCCCCAACCGTTATAACACAAACAATAAAAACAAATACTGTATTAGACTAAATGTATTCATTGAGTGACTATCCGTTTATCTCTCTCTGACTTTGTTGGACATTCTGCATATGAATTCTTGTCTTGAGATTCAAATACTGCATCGGGATTCAAAAGTTTTTTAATGGAAATGAAGTGGAATAATATGAAAATAAAATGAAGTGGAACAATATAAAAATGAAATGTTGTTGTTTAGGCGTTGGTGTTTAGGTTTTCATGTTGTAACCAGGCTTATAAAATAGCTCTGTGTCCATATGCATCGCTGTCAACTCCATTTTCCTGGGTATAACGCTTGTCGTCAAAGCATGATAATGATACTTTATTAATCTCATAACCATTGATTTCATGCTTGACGCTTCTGATTGTTTTCATCTTGTGATAATTTGTTCACAATTAAATAATGTGTTCTTGTAATCCTCATGTTTGATATCTTTCTTGATAACATTTTTCTTTATTCCTTTTGCTGTCTTACCACCTCCACCATTATCCTTCATACAAGAGTACATCTTTGATCGAAGTCCAACAAACTCTTTTATTGGCATACCTCCTGCCTCATCTCGGAACTTTCCAATTACCTTTTTATTTCTTGGATCAAAATATGCTGAGTCTTTGGAATAGCCGCTATTGTCAAACTTGTCCTTGTCCTTCCAAAACTCTTTATAGACATCCTCTGCTTCAATCTCATATGTCAAACTGTCTGTGTCGGTGAATAATAATCTGGCTTTATTTCCATATTTGTTTTAAATATAATTGTAGTGGAAAACGTACATGAGAGTCTTTGATAAGTCAAGAATGCACATTCCCACGTATGCTGGCCTTGAAAGCTGTAACTTTTCTTTGGTTTTATGAACAGCGGCTAAATTTTTGTTGAATATTTTACTACTAACAAAGGTTGAAATTGAAGCCATTTGCAAAAGCTTTTTTTCATTCGTGCGAAGCCTCACGTTAACACGCTTTCAGACATTTTCGACTGTCCTGCCAAGTACTGAATTATTTATCAACTTGAAGAAATCCTTTTCAAAATCGTTTGCTGCATTCTTGCGCATGTCAGTATTGAAATCAATATATTTTTTTAACCAAGGTGATTGATAAAATTCCCAAGCGCTATGAACTTTTTTTATTATTTTTAATCCAAGATCTAAATGCAATTGGAGGTTTCTGTAATGAAGAACATAATTATTCTTATCCTTCAACGTTGAAATCAGCTTTCTAACTTGACCGATGGTGATCCCATACTTTTCTCTTATCCTTTCGCAATACTGTGATAGCATTTCTTTTTGAACTTTGATTTTTTCAGCAGCGAGCGGATAATCATAGAAGATCATGTAGCTCTTGTTTATATTCGAGATCAACCGCCAATATCATTTCCTTTTTGCTTTCTTCTGTATACTTTGCTAGATCGATATCAACACCCTTCTTCCATCTGAATCCTCCAGTTGGGAGATATTGGCTCGTAGCCCATCCATAAAGATTATTAGCATCCAAATACGTAATATATTTTGATGGTTTGCTTTTATCAAACTTTTCAAAATATTTATTATTTGCTTTTCCAAGACTTTCTCAGCATGTTGATACTACTCTTCAGTTATATTCTGATTGCTCAACAAACTAAAGGAATCCTCTTTTTAGGCAGTTTTCTTTTATCAAACGTTCCAATACTGTCCATGAAGTCATAAGGATAAACACCCTTTTCTTCTCATCAATGTGAACTCCTCTACATTGAACCCTTGTTTTGTATACTTAAACGCTTCATCTGATAGATTTTCGACTAATTTATCCAAACTACTACTCATGAATTGAAAACTGTCAATGAATCTCAAATGCTTCCCAAGTGAAAAGTTCATATACTTTTCCATGTTATTTGGTAAAACACTTATATCCAACTGTTTTGTATTTCCATTTGTAGTTTATACGGTGCTTTTTTGCTATTTGACCAATATTCTGCATTATGAAATGAGAATCATAACTTCAAAGATTGGGAAAAATTGTTGGTATATTCATATTGTTAGCATCTATCTTCAGATTAATTCCAACCTGAGCAGATCTTCTATATTTTCCTATTACATGGCAATGATCTCTTACTCGTATATCTGTTTCCTTGTACTTTTTGTCACATATATGACATTTATCCACGTTATTGAAATTTTCAGTATCTTTTGTTGTCATTGTTATTGGTTTATTGAAATATTTCTTCACTGTTTGTTTTTTCTAGGAACTTATAAACAGCATTTTCACCTTTAAATATTTGAACTGGTTTAGTATACTTTTCATCATAAAAACAAACAGCCTTGTAACCATAATCACAATATGTATGCCTTTGATATAATTCAGTGAAGATTTATTATCCTTTTGGTGACAACCTGGTACTTTTTCTGTTATTGCTTCAAAATCTGCATAAATGACAAATGGTACAGACATCTGTTTGTCAAAATTTTTGTACCTCAAGGGCACCTCTGGGGATAGACAAATTCCAGCTTTCTAGAAGGTGATGTGAAAGTGAGAAAATGTCATAGCATGCTATTCATAAGAACCTGTATGAGCCGAAAATGGGTGTGATTTTGACCATTAGCTTCAAAATAACAGCGGAAATTGAGGTAACAAAACATATGTTTTGTGTCCTACTTTGCAGACGAGGACGTGTATCGGCGTTTTGTGAGGCATAATTGTGTTCTTTCATTCTTTCATTGTCATTGAATGCGTTTACATTGCTTTTTTACCGTTAATAGCTCGGTTAATGTTAAATGGCGTTTGCCGGCGGAAGTTCCATGGAAAAGGCATATAATCAGCCTTTGTGGTGTACTGTTAAGGTATAGTCGCGTCGAGCCGAAGGTGTCGGGTTCGTGTCCTACTCAGTACCTAATTTTTTCCTTCTTTCTTTTTTCTGTTTTTTGTGCCGTTGTTTTCTATAAAAGTATACCTAAATAACTGTTATTTAATACATTGCAATAAACAGCAAGAAAAGTATCGTATTTCCAGAGAAAAGATAGTACACCGTATATGAAATATATGGAATGTAAAACAATCTGAATTTCTATCATTTCCTACAATTTACTATGGGAAGACAAGAGTTGATAACCATTTGATCATTTTCTTAACAACGTTCTTAAGAGTTCTTTCTATAGACTGATACATGTTGTAATTATTACTTTCCAACATGTAAATAGGACATTCAATAACATTTAAGTCTCAAGCAAGCAGATATATCACTGCCTAACTAATGTCCGTATCAACAGAATGTGCCGCAGCATTACTATCTTTTAGATACCCTAGTTAGTTAAGATAATTTTTTTTATAATCTTTGTCATTTCCCATCTCTTTAAGCCGAGAATAAAAGATTGATTTTTCCTTGTTTATAATTTATATAATTTTCATCTCTTTATATTAAAAGAAAAAAATTTTCTCAGAAGCTTACTCCTTGATATTGTTGATGTATTTACTTGATTTGAAATGTCGGAGTCTGTTTCTGAAAAAACAGTTTTATTTTTTTCTAAGCTTGCGAGCGGGCGAAATCCTCCAAATCCTCCAATCTGATTGGTTCCCAGAGAGGGCGATTTTTTAAGATCTTGCCCGCTAACCCGGGCGGAATCGTTGGCAGCTTCGTTCACAAGTTTTTTTGTTGTTTTTAAATGAGCAAAACTCGTGATTTTTAACCATTTTTCTTTTAAAACATGCGCTATTATTAGCATTAGTTAGGGAAAAGTGAATTTTGTTATGCGGACAAAAAATCTGAAGGGAGAATCAAGCAAGTCAGCCAGGAAAACCGTTAAAGTAAAACAAAACAGGCGGCTAGTGATGTCGCTTCACTAGCTTTATAACCTACGCTGTAAGTACTGCAATCTTGCTTTTATGCAACGTTTATTCGACAGTTTTGTTCTGTTCGTAGGGTTTTTTTTTCCATTTTTGCTGTCTGAATCTCTATTCAGCCGTTTTTCATTGAATTTTGCCTCGCCAGTTTTCTACTTTTCAGAAAAGGTTGTTGTCAACAATAGCATTTAGCTTTCAAAAATATCTTGAATATTTAAACAACACGAACAACTCTTCCAGCAGCCGGTTATCGCCGTTTTCATTTCTTTGTTTATACACTTGTTTAGTTACCCATATCGCCTTCTTTTATTCGAATTCAACTCAAAACCGTGCTAAGATTGGTATGTGTAATTAGCTCTTTTTATTAAGTCTTTGTGCAGTTTTTATCCCGCTCGATTGAATTAATCTTAAAGTAAATATTCAGCCGAAGAAAATCTTTGCTTTATTTTCTTTCCTGTGGCTTTTAAGTTCGTCAGTTCTTTTATCCTTGTTTGACACTCAGATTATGAATTGTTAACCAAGACACAAAAACCTTGCTTTATTCTAAAAGAGAGCTTAATTGTGATAATAAAAAATAACAAGTTAAAATCATGTTGTAATGTTTTGTTTTGGTTTGCAATCGATCGCGCGCTTTGAATTAAAATCAACACAAACGCGCCCTTCTTCAACACACATAGGTTGGAGGCTAAAGTAAAATTTTCCTGAAACTTTTAAATCTCGGTAGGAAAAAAACAAAAATGTCATTTACCGGCCTAGGTCGGTCCGTATTGGGAGAAACTGTGCCCTCGGGCGGTACTCAAGGCCTCGGGCACAGTTTCTCCCAATACGGACCTCCCAGCCGGTGAATAACATATATTATTTTTTTTCTAAGCTTGCGAGCGGGCGGAATCCTCCAAATCCTGCAATCTGATTGGTTCCGAGAGCGGACAGTTTTCTACGATCTTGCCCGCTAACCCGGGCGGAATCGTTGGCAGCTTTAGTCACAAATCACGATACCAAACCTTGGAATTACACTTCTTTGTATTATCCTTTTTAACAAGCGCATGTTCTTCTTCAGCGAAATAATTTGTTGGTCTTCCAGTTTTAGATTTTACCATCTCTATGAAATTACAATACATAATTTATTTTTAAAACGAAAACTTAGTTTTGTTTTTGGCCACTTTAGCAGTGGCAAAAAAACTTTTTGTATTCGTTTTTGGGCATTCGTTATTTTGGCTTTATCTAAATCAACCGATCCATTAATGACTGAAAAACTACCACATATTTCTATTTTGAATTTTTGCTCCTTTACCTTATGTTTGTCTTCATCTTCGTCTTTATCTTTTTCCGTCAAAGTCACATTAGCTATTGCCAATGCATCTTCTATAATACCTCTAAAATCTCCAAGAGTGCGCAACCACAGTACGACATCAACATGGTTTCCACTATAAACTTTCATAAAAGCAAAATCATCAAATTTACGAACATCTATAGTTTTTCCACTTTTCCACGTGTTTCATAGAACCATTTAAACGAAATCCCTTTCCCATTAACTCAAAAAATCACTGCGTTTAACTAGAATTTTCTCATGATAGAGATGATACAACTATTTTACAATATCATGATGACCATTTTCAAAAGCACCTCTAAATGCGTGAGCGTTATAAGAACGAAGTTTGGTTCCCCATTTATTATAAAACCATTTGGCAAGATCTAGCTTTCCCTTTTTACAAGCGCTTCTGAAACCAAAGTCCTTGAAACCATAATCATCCAAGTTATTATGCCAATGAGAGCATACAAATTATTTTTATTGTTGAAAATCTTTGATCGACTTTCTTGGTAAGATTCGTATTCATACATTCTACATTATATACAAATATTTCATTTTTAAGTGTGCGTTTAATTAACTAAACAATACTTTTCAAATTTCATAATATGACTGTATATTGGGCATTTATTTTTATCTTTTCCCACTCGTTTATACAATAAACACAAATTTCATGTCCACATTCAGTTTTATAGCTAAAAAATCAAAGTTGTCAATCCAAGTACTACATTTATCACTTTGTTCGTTGAACGGTTTCAAATTAAAGAAATCAACAATAGCATCAACATCGTTGCCTTTTATCCACACCGTAATTTTTAAGGAGTTATTATAACTCCAAAAATTGAGTAAAAATTTTAGGTACAGGAGAACCCCTTTTTGGGGGTTACTTTATCTCCTAATTTAACTCGGAATTTGTGGTCATTTTTGCCCCTGAAAAAGAGTTCTTTTTACTCCCACTCTGGAGTTAAAATAACTCCGAACTGGGGTTATTTTTACTGTTTTTGGAGTTAATTTAACTCTGAAAGTGGGGTGAAAATTTTAGGTACAGGATAACTCCTTTTTGGGGGTTATTTCAACTCCTCAGTGTCTGGGGTCACTTTTACTCCTAAAGAAGAGTTCTTTAAACCTCCTTTTTGGAGTTAAAAAAAACTCCCCAAAAAAAAACTCCACTGTAAGGAGTTAAATTAGCCCCACTAGAGGAGTCATTAGAACTCCTTGAAAATTACTGTGCATTCATCAATATTTCATTCCACACCAAAAGTGGCAATATGCCCCATCTCCACCCGCAAAAAATAGCAATCAATTATGGTGGACAACCAAATTGCTATCCCAACAAGATTTTATTCACGACAACTTCGAAAAATTTTTGTCATTGTCCTTACGAATATCAATATTTTCAACATTGTACAACCACTTCGCAATTTTAATGTGGTTTCTCAAGCGACCCATATGAAATGAAGAGTAAATTGTATTGGAGTCGAAACTATTGACGCTATACAACCATACCGCAATTTTTGAGCGCCCTATTTTACAACTGTTTTCAAAAACATTTTTCACAACACTGAGATCAATAATTGAAATCTCATATAACCATTTCGCAATATGTTCAAAACCCAATTCACAACTGGAAACTTAAAGCTAAATCAATAATAACCGGTTGAATCTCCCCAACATCGGGCAACCATTCCATTATGTCCTTATTACCCCTTTTACTGTTAATAAAAAATGCCCTTTCCAAGACACTTCTTTTGAAACGACCGAGACTGTACAACCATTTTATTATAGATAAATCTTCAATCGTACAAGAATGAATAAATGCCACCTCAAGGGTTTTTTTTTTGTTTTTTATTTTATTTTAGGGTTTTACAACGGTTCATCTTCATCAAATTTTCCCTCTTGGCATTAAGTAATAATTCAATGTTACTCATTATAGACTATAAAAACAGATTTTGTTTTTAAATGTGCGTTTAAATAAGACTAATCAAAGCTAGCCTTATTTAACCCATACTCTAAAGCTATACTATTCAACAAATCACCTAAAATAAAATTTAGTTTAATTTCACTCAAAGTTTGTTTCATTTACCTGTTGTGATGTATTAACTGTCTAGTTGATTCAATATGTTGATGTTCGTGTATCTGTTTAACGTTATTGTTATGATTCAACCCTATTATTGTAACTTTTTTACTTTTCCTTCCCGCCTCGATTAGCTATAGGCTACTTTGCGGGCAAGGATTAATTATGGCTTGTATCAAAAGTGTTTTTAATAAACTTAAAACTTGAACTTGAACTTGAATATCATTGAACCATTCAACAATATCCTTTTTACACTCTAAATGTATCCATTCAAAAGTATATTTATCACATTTAAATGTTGAAGAAACAAGACTGTATAACCACTTAGAAACGTGTTTGTGACCATTATAACAACTGAATCTGATTTCATAATTGTAATTAGAATGAATATCAACACCCCCATGACTATACAACCATTTTGCAATTTCAAGATGGCCGTTTTCACAACCCGCTCTAAATGCGTAATCACCAAAACAAGGAATATTTACACCCCTAAGACTATACAACCATTTTGCAATTTCAAAATGGCCGTTTTCACAACTCTGTCTGAATGCATAATCACCATCACAATGTATATCTATTTCAAAATAATACTTTTTTGCTAAGTCATTATACATCCACTCTGCAATCTTCTTTTCACTACGTTCACATAAAGCGTTGAAGTCTTCGTTCATCTTATACTATTACCACAGATGTTGTTTTTAAGTGGGCGTTTTCTTTCTCACTTCCGTTTTCCTGATGTTTTCTACATTCACGTTGTGTGTATATCTTTTTTGGTCTAGTTTTTTCTGGATTATCTTTGGGATTTTATCAATAATATCGGAAATAATTAGATCGAATTTTCCCATTGTTTCTTTTTTATTTGTTATCATAATTCGTTGTTACGCGGGTAATCTTTTAGAGGACGGGTAGCTTGCAAACTAAACTGAACGCAGGGTTGTCGGAACAGCAACAAGAAGATTTATTCCAAAGATGAACGTAGTTTCCACGAAGTAAAACTCCACAACAGCACGTAACTCGATAACTTACACGGCCTCCGCCAACTTCAATTAACTTGGTAAACTTACACGGCCTCCGCCAACTTGAATAAACACTGCTTCCGTCACACTTGACTAAACACGACTAACGTCGAACTATCCTCGCTTGTGAAAACTAGTTAAAACTTAACTCGAGCTGGCCTACTTATATAGTTTTAAAATAAAGTTCTAGAACATTCCAAATAGTCTAATTATAGAAAGATTACAAAATGCACCGCTTTAGAAACGCTTACGCGAGATCCTAAAATAAACAAACTACGAACTCTCGCGAAGCTTCTAGAAAGTCACGCTAGTCACGCAATACAATTTTTCGTAACATTCGTCTTGAATTCAGATTTATCAAATCAAATAGATTTCTACAATAGAATTCCATTTAACTACAATTACTCATTGTTTCTGATTAAATATTTGTGATTTGTCTTTTCGATCTTAGTCCAGCTGTTTTTCTAGTAAGAGTTGAAAACTGACAAGGAATGATTTGCCATTTTAATTATAGACTCTCAAGTTACAAACAAAAAATTTCATTAAGTAATAATACTATTGAATTATATATTCAATATCATTAAAGTGCGTTTGAATTGATTATGAGTAAGGTATTCTTAAATTTTTTGCAAATCACCGAGTGGTACCCAACTATTGAACTCATTACTGTATCCTTTCTATTTCACTCAAGCTTGTTTTTTCTTGTAATCTCTTCGAACGACTTTTTCAATTCTAAATACATCTTGTTTGGCTTTTAACAATTCTGGTTCATAAAAACTAACTCGTATCTCTTTATTATTGAGTTCCTTAAGGTGGCCCGATCCTATTTATGTGCGTGTTTGTTATGTTTTTGATTCGTGTTTTTCAGAAAGAAAGATTCAACCGATTTCCATAATTTTTGGCATCTTTAATAAATAATGATGGAACTTAAGAAAATGTTATTTATTTTCTTGTACGTATAAAACATTTTGAGATATCGGCATACATTTAAAATCGCATTTTTACGAAAAATGTAAATAACTTCGAAATCCCACGACAGATTTTTCTCTAAAATTGGGGAGTGAAATGGAACAAATTAAACTTCAGAAAATCGTGGGGAATTTGTTAGATACGCTTGGAAAATTGTACATACATGGAACGGTCATCTAGAAATGTTTAGCCTTCCTCAAGCTATAGAAAATTCTAGGCAATTTTTGCTTCTCCGATTTGCCTTCGTTCGTTTCAGCATGGCTTAAAGAAATACATTAAACTAATTTATTCAACTTCATTTCTCTGTGCAGTACAGCTAATAAATATTCCGGTCGCGTAACTATAATTTTCAGGCGACATAACTTTTGCCTCGCACGCGATGGCGGGCCGCTTTGCGATTCCGGTCAACAGCCGGAGGAATTCTCGGGTTTACATCAATCTCGCGTTAATTCCAGGCTAGACGACCATTAAGTGATGATTTACAAATGGCTACGGTTACGATCATATTCCAAAACAGTCTCGGTATATTTGATTCACTTCGACCAGTTATCAATGCTGATTACCCAAGCCATTTTTATCATCTTAGCAGTTTTAGTAATCAAGCTTGTTTAGCGTGTCTTACCCAAAGTGTACTCTATAAGCGTGAAAAAAAAGGTCTAGCGTGTCGTGCAAGCATGTCGTGAGGGTGCATTCACCTTTAGCATCAAATCCCTGTGAATATTGGCCTAAAATAAATCAGCCCTTTGCCGTAGTGCCAGCCCTGCATTCAGTTTGTTTCCTTACCTAGTATCCATTACAACTGAGGCCAAATGCAACTAAAAACATAACGTGCAGCAACATCTAATCCATTTTTTGTTTGTCTCAAAAACCAGTTGTAACTTCATTTACCCTCAGGTACAGAAGTACTAGACAATCTCCTGGGCTTACGTGGCGAAACAGCTTGCCCTGCAAAGGTCGATCAAGCATGCCTTGTCTGTCTTTGATGTAAACAAATGTAGGGCTTTACGATCAACTGTTTCCATTTGGGAAATACCAACTATGTCCTCTGCATGGGGAAGGCATGCTCTTTTTCTTCTGTTTTCACAAGCTACGAGCTTTCTAACTTAAAGACTTGGTGGTGTGGGGGGAGGGGGTAGTAACAATTATCAAAAGATCATGGGGGTGCTTATCTAATTCTGCTTTGGGAACGAAGGGGGGCACTACATAATAATATTCTCCTTTTAAGCTCATTTTTTCAGCCCCCTCCTGATAATCAATGCAAAGTCCCTAAGCTCGCATTCTTCAAGCCCTTCTTTGGAAAAATGACAGCTGATGAAATGATTTTCAATTCCATCATTACAATCCTCCAACCAAACTGCACCACTCGCGCAATTAGTGTCGATTGTGCATTTGCAAGTAAGAAAAACAAACAAGGTGGTCTTTTTGCAAGTACGGTCGAAAAATTTACTGGGAATCTCACAAAAACGATAACCAAAAAATTGCTTATATAAATTAAAAGATTCGTTTTGTTTACTTAGATTACTGTATCCCAACACAACGTTTTGCTAAAAAAGATCAGAGTTAAAATATAGATATAAGAGCATAATCCATAATCTTTCGCTGTTCACAGAAAACGCCCAGAACCTCGCCTTTTGAAAATCGTGTGCATGTATTAAAGCAAAGGAGTGATGACGTCACTGGACGGCATTAACGGCCGGTCGTTTCAGACGTTACTGAGGGAGTAATAACGACTCGAAGTATTCGGAAGAAATTCAGGCTAGTCTTAGGAAACTCAAAGAAAATCCCGTTGCTTCATAACTAGCCGTTTAAAATCTTTGATTTTGAATGGAAGCAACCTCTTCTTCGTGTGAAGAGCGAAATTCGCACAAAGATCGTAAATGACGCGGTGAAGTCTTTACACAGTCTATCTGGCAAGGTAAGCGTTCAAGAACGCCTTGATCACCTCCGGGCTCTAGATGGCCTTTGAGGGTTCCTATACAGTTTTTGCTGCCTTTTTCGTTGTTTCAGGCTTGTTTGCAGCCGATGGGGCTGAAAAAATTTCTTCCGACGAGTCTGTAAAAGTGGAGGTAAAAACTTAGATATTTTGAAAATTTAACAATAGTCCAGTTTCGAAATAAAAATTACCGCTGAATATAAACATTAACGACACATTCACACAGGGTTAGCCTCGACTTAAAGTAAAATATTCAGAAATTCTGGCAAGTAAGTGTTTGAAACTTGAATATACACAATAGACAGAGTAATGAACAGGTTTTTTTCTCGTTGGAATTTGTGAATATATTACTTCAGATTGAGGCTAAGGCTGTAAAAAATGCGTCTTCACTTCTTTAATTCAGCGGTCATAGCGAACTCGAAAAAGGTCTATTTCACATAGCTCGCGGCCGCGAGCGAAGCGAGTTTATAATCTCGTCGCACGCAAAGCCCGCGTGCATCACGTAAACCGCGCGTGGTCTTAGCCCGATGCAAAATTCACTGCGCCATAAATAAATCTTTCTTTCTATGAATATATGCTTGGTGTCCGCCAGTGACGTCATCTAGTGCTACATCATGGAGCATTTTGAGTTTCCAGGCAACATAGACTTTGCCGCTGATGACCAGCGTATTTTCATGTATTATTCATGAAAGGCTGATGCGTTTATTCATCTATGAAACAATGTTTACAATCGGTGAATCACGAGCAATTTCCCATTCAAATGAAACAGGACAACAAGCACAACAATTGGCTTGAAATCCTCGATTTTCAACCGAAACTCATCTGGAGAACGCCGACTAAACTTCATCGCCAGCTGCCTAAACTAAACAAATTTTGTTTGGGGATTCAACTGGATCCTGCGAATCAGGTGATAAAAAAGCTCAAAATAGATCATTTGTGAGTCTACACACTGTATTCCACTTCATGACGCAACGCCTACAGAATGTGATAAAAAAACAAAAAAGGGCATGCCAGTTACTGAAATTCTGAATACATGTACTTGATAGAGAAATAAACATCTTCTAGAAATTTCATGTAAAAATAAAAGTTTTGATCAAAAGTTATAGTGCATGAAATTAGAGGAACGAACTTTTCGGACACCCTGTAAAGTATGATTGTTTAAAAGAAAATTATCATACTGACTTTTTCCTGCTGCTCAAAAAATGTGCACGAAATGTTAGGTCGTAACAACATTCAGCCGCCATCTTGTCTTCGATGTTCTGTTTTACGAAAGGAAAGACTGTCCTCTCAAGGGCGACAGCGAGGCTACAATAAACTCACTTTCATCGGACAGATACCTCGATACCTTAAAGAACACGTTTGTGGAACTTAGCTCCCAATATACGTCATTTAGCTCCAAAAAACAGCCTGCAAATGCTCGTATTGAACGTAAGCAATTCACAGAGAATGCCTCCTTGGCACTTGAACAGACTATATTGACGCATGCGCATACAAAATGCCCTTCTGTTGTGCCATCCTTAATGTCCATTTTTTGTTTTTCTAAATCAAAATATAGGAAAGAAAATATGCAGCGATATTATTTCTATTGAGTAATGTCCCTTCCCGTATTCATTATTTTTATGGACATACTTCAGAACACATCTGTGAACACGTGTCATATCAGTGGATGGTGTATAATGAATCTCGGGGTATTTGTTATCGTTACCAACCTCCAGATGACAATTGGATAATTTCATTTGGTCAGTTGAGACAGAGAATGTATTATAAAGGAATGGGCAAGCCGTCTGTGCATCGATATTTGCATCATTGGTTATGAATACAAAAACATGACGCGGACGATTTACACCACTCGAAATTTTGAAATTTCCTTGTCTCTGTTGACTGCTATCTGATCCTTCCATATTTTATTTCCAGTAAGTCCACTTACGTGATTTAAGATAGTGGTTCATGTATAATGATTGACCTTCACTGCTGAAAGTCATCCGCCGAACAAACAATTGCATGTTAATGATAATCACCCTACAATTAGCCCCAGCTTGCCAAATTAGATTACCATCAGACTCAATTTGCAAATTCAATTCAACCTTTGCATTAGGTAATAGCTCATCTTCTAACATTTCCAAAAATGAATATCGGTTCAAAGATATTTCAGTGTTTACTGTAGATGAGGTATCCAGAAGTGTTTGTCGAAGGGCAAAATCTTTATTGTATCCGGTTCTTCTTTTGGCTATGTGATTAGTGGCATCAGCTGTAAATTCTCTCTCTTCCGCTTCTATTGATGTATCAAGAAAATAAAATTCATTGGTAACGATGCTTTCAGCGTATACCGGACTATAATCAAGTAAATTTTTAATATTAACAGCACGATTAGCATCATTACAATCGTACACTTTTTTGCCATTCAACTTAATATCAAAATGTTTCAAAAATGAGTAACATCCATTCATTACCATTGTAATCATCTTCTGCAATATTACCGCCATTAGCTAGCAAATTAACTTTAAAATCAATTGATATCCGACCATTATACCTATCGAATGGGGCGACCTCTCCAGTTTTATCAGCAGCAAATCTGTATCCGTTCTTTCTCTGATAAGAATTATTTGCAACATTTGAATTCAGTGGTGTTTCCAAGTCAAAAACAATATACTTATATTCCTATTAATAGATTCGATAAATTTGATTTCTCTCATTCTACCCCCAGACAACAATTTATTCACTCTTTCATTAATCTCATAATCGCGTAATTCTCTTGTTTGTGGATTTTGTATTGGATGTGTCACAGGTGTAGTCGTGTTTTTATTTCTTTTTCTCAATAATTGAATGATTTTATCACCTGCTTTTTTCCCAACAAATTCACCACTTTTCGGAGCAGCTGTCTGAATAGCCTCCCCGCAGACGTCCTTTGGGGTTCGTTTGTCACGCATTCATTTCTCCCCCACGGACGTCTGTTACAAGTTCTCTTTTCGTAATACTTCGAAAATATACAGAGTTAATAGTAATTATTGTTTTCGACCGCGCTGAAAACCGCTCCGCGCTCGTGTGGGAGACTGTTGTCTGTCAAAGAAAAGCATATTATTTCATACTTACAACAACTTCCGAAAAAACTATACAGCTGACTACAGCTTTATTGCATCATTTCTGTAATTTTTTTCAAAACGTTTGCGTCGTCTCAGGTAGAAGATAGCTGTGCAAATAAATAATTCACTTGAAGAATATAAAGACACGTCAACGTCCAGAGCACGTTTGATGAGCCTTGCGATGTCGACTGCGCTTTTTTTAAACACACGAACTCGGTCCTTTCCTAAATTACAGCTGCAAAGAGAACAAAAAAATTCGCTTCTTATAACTTTCTTCGGAGTCTCATCAATCCATAGACGTGGAATAAATATTCCTCTAAAAAATCGAGAAATACTTCGTAGGTGCCGTTTCACTTATATCACAGCCCGTGATTGGCTGATCGTGACACAATAACTAACCGCTTATTGGCTTATTCAAACAATCCACGACGTAAATGTCGGCTGTGTTTAGCAGACGTCCGTGGGGGAGAAATGAATGCGTGACAAACGAACCCCAAAGGACGTCTGCGGGGAGGCTACTGTCTGAACAGCTTTATTGGATGCTGTTTTAGCAGCTTTTTTTACGGTCTGTCCAAACACTTTTTTACCAATCAATTTAAACACATCTGAAATACCTTCACCATAAATATGCTTTTTCACATACCAACGCATTTCAGGATCACAATGTCTTTTGAATTCTGATTATTTCATAATACATACTATTATATTAGATTAAAAAGGTGTAGATCGCAATGTCAATGTTATGGACCAGTCAACCCCATTCAAATTAATTGGTCGCCCAATAGAATCTGTGTTGTAAAATCGCATTTGACTGATACTTAGTTGTGAAACTTCATTAAACAGCAGCCTTTTGGGTTCCACTGTAAATGAGTAACTTCTTGTCAAATTATCAGTTGGAATAACGGCGATTGTATTTTTATTGACACCGTTTAAAATAGAATTTGTTATGGCATCTGTATTTATATGGATCATGTCTATGGAATTTGTGATATTTGGCAACCTACTTCCATATTCTGTTTCACTCACAATTTTCTCTTCAAATCCAATTAAATCACCAAATTCACTATTTTTGAGGTCTAACTGATACTTGTTTTTCAGCCGCCATAATACAAGATAAACAAGATGGCGGACTGACTTACTCAGATAAGCCTGAAAACGTGCCCGGATAGTACTTTGTGTAAGCTAGCCTGAGGCATACTCGTTACAAATCACTACCGTATATGTTGACAATATAAATGATAGACTGTGATATTTTTTCCAGTTTTATGATTTTGCTGATCCATGTGTTAATGAATATAAGAATTCAAGTCTGAATTAGAATACGTTCCATGTACAAAATTAATTGTTTTCCAATTTTGACCATTGTCTGCGCTGTATTTTTTTTATTATTCTTAAACTGATCTGAAATGTTATGCCAACTGTAAGTCATAATAACCTTATCCATTGCTAATTCATGTTTCATAATATCTTCCAGTTTTAAAATTGGATGTTATCCTTATTTTTCTTTCTTTTATTTTTGTCGTGCTTAATGATCCCTTTTTCTGTCCCAATTTGCTATTTATTTCACTAACTTCATCATAATTTTTTTTTTACAGAATCTGGGTTTGTCAAGTATTCCAAAAAAGCATCACTAGGTAATGATAATTTATGCTTTTGCATAAGACTAAAATCATCATCATATAATATCTCACAGTAAACCCGATGATTGTGTTTGTGAAGAAAAAAATAAAAAAACTTATTGATTATTTCATGCAAGGGCGAAATAAAAGCTGCTCAGTTTTGTATCTTAGTCACATTTTTTTTGATACTCCGAAGAGTATCAGAATAAATTGCGCCCATTATATATTATATGATTGCCCAAGTAAACCTGAAATAACAAGGATTTGCAGTGAATTCGGTGTTACCAAAGACCAATACATGAAAGCCGCCACAAAACCATATTCATTTTTGTATGTTGACAAACCAATGAAAAAAATTAAACGGAACTTTTACGGATATAAATAATGTAATAATAAACCATGGGTTGATGAAGAAACTGTTTCCGACGATGCAATAAAAAGGCATCAACTTGATATAGCAATGATTGATAAACATGATAATAATCAAGATATTGATCTTAAGGATACTTACAATGTCACCAAAAGCAAACAACAAACGTTCAGTGAAATGATTACAATAGATGAGACTCTAGTTTGTTATAAAGATGTTCGTGATGTATTCATAAGTTGTAAGGAATCTGTTTTTCCAATGGAAACTCGTTTAGTATGGGAAACAATTATATTTACAATGTTAAGTCTCCAATAAACAATGATCAAGCAACTAGTAAAGGGTACGTCGATGGGAAATTAGCCAAAAAAGTAAACACTAGTGTTGTACAAAATGTAATGAGACAAGTTCTTTACAAAGCTGATAAAAGAGATCTTGATAGTTATTTAAAAAGAGATGGTAGTTTAAATATGACCGGTAACTTACAAATAAATAATTATAGAATAAAAGGATTACTAACAACAACACCTCAAACAGGTGATAAAGCTACCTCAAACGATTATGTTTTAACATTAATAAATGATCTTCCTAATGTTTATTTAGACCGTGCTGGATCATTAAAAATGACTGGAGATTTAAATATGGATAATAACAGAATAAAAAAACCTGGATGATGAACCTCAAAGTGGAACTGATGCAATCAATAAAAACCAACTTGATTCAATTGTTCGAAAATCTCATATTAAACCAAGTCATAAAGCAAACCAGTTTGATTATTTGATGAAGAATACTTTGGAATGGTCTGATTTGATCCCTGGTGGAAATAGTTTTAATCTGTAAAGTTTGGTGATTTATCACCAGATAAAGGTAATTTTCACTCTTACAATCACAAAGTATTTACACAACAATTAACAAAAATAGTCTCGGTGGTTACAAATACAAAAACGGAATTAAATGTTTCCCTGTAACAAAAAATAGTGATGTGATTACACTTTGTGTATTGAAATCTTGAATGTTGATTATCAACTTCGGCATAAATCGAAAATTTTAATTGATAAAGCTACATCCAAAAGATTAACTATTGGACATGAAGAAGTAAAAAAATATTCTCAGAGATATATTGATTCAAGCAACAATGTAGAATATATTTATTACAATAGAAGAATAGTTAATTTTAGGAAAACTGAGGCAGATCCACTTTTTCAACTTCATTTATTAGTTGAAATCGCCCAAGACGGAATTGATTTACAAACTTACCCACAAAAGTTTACAGAGAATTATATTATTTCTTATAGTATAATTAGAGCCGAAAGTGATTTAGATGCAGATAAAATCTATGATTATCACACAGCCTATGAAATTAAACCCACAAAAGTGAAGAAGAATGTTCCTCTTGATATGAATGGACAAAGAATACTAAACCTCAATCCATATGTTATAAATGTTTGGAATAGCCATTTTGAAAAAAAAAATACTGCACGTACTAAATTTTCTACGTGAAAAAGAAATGAACACAGTAACACAATACTCAAATTTTACAATTTTCAAATTAACAAAAGCCTTTGTATTTTTAGAAACACAGGACAATATACATTGCCTTTCAAATAATTGCGTAAAAGTGAACAGTTTTCGTGTTTACCGAAAGTTGGTCACTGTGATCAAGTCATGCAAAGAGCCTATAGCCGGCGGAGTGACATTTAAACATGTTGTATTAGGGACTATTTCGGGCGCTGGTTTATTGCTTAAAGCACTGAGCGAAATCAAAGATTATAAGAAGAAAATCGAAATGTGTAAATTTGCTTACACCACATATGAAAAAGTGTTAGTCGATTTACAGGCTTCGCTAAGAGGAGCAGAATTCAGTGGCACTCAATTTGTTTTTGAAATGAAAATGATTGGCGATAAAATGATTGATCTGTGTCCACTGGTTGATAAATTTGAATAGCATTATGACAAAAAATTCAAATAAACTTTGTATTCCTGAGAATCACGCAACAGGTCGCTTGTCAATGATTGACCGTATTTGATCACCTTTCCAAAACATAATATCATCCCAATATTTTTTATTATGTTTGATTGTCTTCTTTGATTTTGATATTGGGATGACATAATGTGGTAGCTTCAACATTTTGAATAACTGTTTCAAAATGAATTTAACATTTATCACCCGCCTCGTTCTCTGTTGACTTGTGGAATTATCTCAAATATTTGAACTATTTTTTGTTTGTTTATTAGTGATAAATCAATTAATATTCTTACTACAAACATCGGCATGTGTGCTTTCTATATGATATTTCCAGTGGCAAACAGACTTCTTTTTTATCTTGTGAACATTTTCATAAAAATTTAAGTTTTCGTTGACAATCTTGTAACCCTCAACTTGACCGCAATTGCCACAAACATGAATTCCTGTTTCGTTTAAAATATTATGAGTTTTACAACAAAATTCAGTCTCTTGTTTTACATGCTCATGGTCATTCAACTGTCTGTAACAAAATGGGCAGTAGTGATCTGTTGTACTAAAATAATCGTGTAGTGTTGTATCACAATGCATTTCCTATACAAATGTTGATCTGATAGGTAATTTTCTCATAGACTTGGGCATCTTGAATTACAAACTTTACTGATAAACTTTACTTTCCAAAACCAATTTTATACTGCAATGTCACACATTTTTGAATCCTGATGCTTAAAGCAAAATTTGAATCTAAGACAACAATTCATATGCAGAATATCCAACAAAGTAAGAGAGAAATAAGTGGGTAATCACTCAATGAATACATTTAGTCTAATACAGTATTTGTTTTCATTGTTTGTGTAAAAACGGTTGGAGGGTGGCCTGGCCATCGTCGGCTTCGGCTCCTCGCCGCCCCCGAGATTTTATCTTTTTTCCATCCCCTCCTCGTCTTCGCTTCGCTCAGACTGCGGTACCACATAAGAGAATCTCAGCTTCGCTTTGATTACAATCGTTGTGTTACATGGGGTGTTATATATGACTAAAATTGAGCCATCGAGACTCTGTTGAATTAGCAAGTCAATGTCAACAGAACTCAATTGCGATTTTAACGCCCCACCATCCCCGTGTCTCGGCGATCGCTTGAATCTTCTCGTGCCTTCGGCACTGCGTCCGATTCAATCGATCTTCCGAGACATGCCGTGGAGCTTATCTCTAAGGCTCTGTTTGGCCCAAGTCTTGAAGCCAACCCAAGAAATCCAAAGTTGGAAAAAAGTTCTGAAAAATACGAACACCAAATAAATTGGAAAATAATCTTGGAAAACTGTGCTGGTACCCTCAAGTGCTATACTACTTAAGAATGATAATACGAACTGGATTTTTCATGTTTTAGTTACAAAGTAAAGGAAACACGTGGCGATCTTTCCAATCTTCATTTGGTAAGTACATTGTTTTACCATTGCTGTTCCAACCACTTGGTTGCTGATTCAATAAATTAATATTTGTTGAACAAGTATTAACATACGTCATCAATCTAACAACAAATCTGGTCTTACCTCGATTATCTTTAGCCAATTAAAAGCAAGTATTAGAGCATCAGTGTCATATTGCACCGAATGTATTGAGAATTTTTCCAGATAAGAAATCCGTCAATTAAAAGGTCTGAAAAGGTCCTAAGTTGAGGTGTAACCCAATCGCTTCAAAGTCGTGGCTGGTCATAAAGCCAACAGGAGAGGAGAAAGCACAATAAGTCTTTGGAGGAACTAGTATTAACATCAGAACAGATGGGAGAAAGTATCTTGGTGGATATACGCTGAGGAATTGGTAAGCTCGTGGTGCGACCAACTGAAATTCCTCTCGAAGATTGCAAAGACAGAACCACAAGCAGCTTATGTAGCATTTGTAGGCGGATTCAAACATAAACTGAGGTATTACATAAGAACAATGCGACAACTCCCGCGCAGCTATTGAACAGCTGGTTGAACATATTAACAATCAAGAAAGGACAGCACCAGTGGATAGTGAACAGCTCAACATCGACGTCAAGGATAAGGATTGCCAATACCAGAGAAGAACTGAATAACACCATCCTACAGCAGCTCAGCGTGAAGATGAGCCCAGGACAACTGAGGGCAAACGACCTGGTAAAGATGAAGGGTGCCTTTAGCTGGTTAACAACATTGCCATTAAAGTCAGAGATTGAACTTCCACCTGAACAAAAGGGAATTCTACGATGCGTTCAGCCTTAGGTACCGCTGGACACTGAAGTACCTCCATCTAGATGTCTTTGCGGCAAGAGATTCGACGTTGATTATGTAATTTTGTGTATAAAAGGTGGATTTGTCTCTCGGAGGCATGACGACGTGCATGCGATACCTGTTCGCATCCGTTCTCATGGACGTATACCATAATTTTGAGGTCGAGCCACACTTTCAGACCTTGACGGGAGAAACTTTTAACGAGCAGTGCCAACTCTTCTGATGAAGCTCATTTTGATGTCACGACGCGCGGTTTTTGGCAAAGGGGGCAACGTGCATTTTTTGATGTCAGTGTTTTTAACCCTTTCGCAAAGAGCCACCTTAACCAGAAACTTGAGAATGAGAACGCGAAAAAAGCGACAGTACAACCAGCGATTTTTTAAGTCGAGTATGGCTCCTTCAGCCCTTTCGTGTTCTCACCGTATGGTGAAAATGGCGGAGAAGCCGAGCGATTTCTCACTGAACTAGTCCTGAAACTATCCGAGAAGAAGCAGCTAGACTATAGTATTGCAATAAACTGACAGAGAGAAAAACTTTAATTTAACTTATTAAGATCAGCAGTGTTATGTGTAAGAGGCTCCAGAGCAACCAAACATGAGTTGAACTCTGATTTAAGCGGGGCAGAAATCGGAAATTTGATTGGAAAGATTAAGTAGACACGTTTTATTTTTTAAGCATTTTATAGAAAAGTTCTCACCCAAGCCTGGGGCTTTTGATATTTTAAAAACAGATTTTTTTTATCAATGAATTTGTAATAATTTTTATCAGTGTTTCAATACTGTAATCTTTTGTTGGATAATGTTTTTAACGAAGTTGTTATTTTAAAGAGGCTGTGTCACGGCAGTCCAGTTCATTTTGTTTAATTTTGCCAATTACTCGCCCTCAATCGCTATGGAAGCAAAGAAATTACATGTAAATGACAAAATCAGAGATCCGAGACAAACAAATATGTCTCCTGAGCATTATTTTTGAAGTTGCAAGCAGCAGGGATCAACTTTGAAAAACTGTTAGGCTGAACAGTTTTAATTTCCAAAAACCCTAATTTCAATCCGTTTTACTCTTCTTCAGTTTTGTCCATCCGTGTCATCTGTTGTTTCTGTTATGTCATTTTAACCTTCCTTTAAAGTTTTAAGCGGTTATTTGTATGTTTCTCTTAATTTAACGGGCATTTTGTAATTTCCTAATTTGGCTGAATTTCGTGACACAGCTCCTTTAAAAGATCTAATTGCAAAATTTACCATTTCCATGTGAGGGAGATTACCACAATTACTCACACATTTTACTTCTTGGCATTACCAACGACCTTTTTAATGTTCATGGTCTCAGTGATCTTCGCAGTTAAATCGAAAAGTTCTTCCTTGAATTTCTAAGGTTAAATTCTAAGATTTCTTAAGTATTCTCCATCAACCCAAAGTGCTTTTGAAGGTTTCCAAACCTTATTAAGAGGGAACGCATTTTGTTTGTACTGCCAAAGTTTTAATTGTACGAGAAATTATTCAAATTATATTCAAGCACTCATTATGTTTTTTTGGTTTTCTTTTCTTAACAGACAAGTCCCATTCAAGCAGAATCTGGGAAAGAGGAAAAGCTTGGTAGTAAGACAAAAGAAACTGAAATGTAGCAAATCAAAGGTCGTAATTTTCACTAACAATTTTGGACACAGCTATTCCGATTGGAAATTCCGAAATTCAATCTTTGACCGATTTTACCCGGTAGATAGAAACCCAAGAGTTTTTAACAAATCAGAGGCAGATTCGTTAACAAATATAATAAGCACAGGTCAGTCAAATTCATTCCAAAATCGTAGCGTTTTGAGCTGACATGTCCGAACCAATGGATCGTAATACACCAACAAAAGGACCGTTAGATTCCCTTTCCTTAGGTTTCTGAATTGTTATTATGTGGGCCTTTTGAACTCAAAGTGTTAAAAAGGCGCAATAGATGCGGGCGATTATAACCTCGGTCAAACTGAAGTAGGCCTAAATAAATGCCAAGACTAATTGTACAATCCGTTCAAAAAAGTGAAATTAAAAGAGCTTGACCAATTTACGCGCGTTAAATTTAATACAGATTTAGGGCGATGGTTAGAAAGAGGTTGGAAGGGGTTAAGTAATTTTTTAGTATATTTTGAACTGTGGATAAGTATATCAAAGTGGAAATAATGATCCTCGCAGTTGAACAAAGAATCTGGTAAGCGGTTGAAAAAGAACCTGAAAAAAAATTCATAAGTCTTCATATTATGAGTCTTCATATTTCCATTCATGTCATTTCCACCATAGGGTTTTTTAACGAATTCACTATGGCCTGCTCACGAGTTGGCTTGATCAGCTTAATGGATAGAGCGTCAATGCAAAGGTCAGGCTTCCATTTCCTATCAAGCCTGAATTTCTGCAGGTTCTTTTTCAACCGTTTAGGTTGTTTATTCAACTGCGAGGATCATTATTTCCACTCCCTATGTGGTTTACCCTCTGTTAATCTACTTAAACTGCAACGCTTGCAGAATGCAGCTGCTCGGCTTATATCTAATGTTCCGCGCTACAGTCACGTAACACCAGTACTATGTTCGTTACATTGGCTTCCTGTCAAATTTCGTATTGATTTTAAAATACTTCTTTTTACTTTTAAAGCTATCTATGGTCATGCGCCTGGTTACTTGATCGATTTGATTGCTATTAAAGAACAGCCGCGCTATAATTTTCGTTCAGCTAGCGGTCTTTAATATCTTAAAGTATCCTAGTTTAAAACTGAAAAAGACTTTAGGGGTCGTGCTTTTTCATATGCCGCCCCTAATTTATGGAACAATCTGCCCCTTCACATCCGTCTTGAGGACAGTTTTGAACGTTTTAAATCTTTACTTAAAACGCACGTTTTTAGACTAGCTTTTGATATGTAATGTTTTTAACCTATTATGTAATACATTTAGTGTTTTTATCGTTATTTAATTTTAGCGTTGTCTATTCTTAGCCTTAATTATTATGCTCATTTTAGCTTGTATTTTCTTTTAACACTTACGTGTTGTCACGCGCTTTTGATTTTTCCAGCGCATGACAAAAGGGACCCCTGGGGACGAGGTTGATTATATTGTTATTATTATATGATCTAATGCGCACGCATGCGAAGTAGTGGCATTTTAGCGGCGGTGGTGACGATATAAAAAGATGGGAAACAAAGGCAGTCTTGCAACGGTACTGGTTATGGTGGTAATGGTAGTGACACACGTGGTGTAAGACTTAATCTGACAGTGTATTGTTCAGGGGGGGAAGAGACAAGGTCTAAGACGGAGAAACTATGTTCTCACAACTTGCAAAGCGGTCACCTTGCGTGATGGTCAGCGGATAAATGCAGTATTTTTGCCATAGTAAATATTTTGGAAGCGAGAAACGAACCGACAGAGAAAGTGATTAAAAAATTGAAAAAATAATATCTAATAATATGCCCCTTTGTTTTCCTTGCATATCGTATTTGTCTTTTGGTACTGAAATTGCGAGGGAAACTATTAAACCTTAACCAACAACAACGCGCTCGATCGATTTATAGGTTACATCGTTTTTGCCGGGCGAGGACATCAGAAGATTACAGAATTTATGATGCTGATAGAAATTACTGGAGAAAATTTCAAATGTATCGGAAGTAAGTATATTCAAGAGAGCCTTATAAATATGAACCTACGGCTGTACATATCATACCTGAATAATCATTCACTCTTCATAACATTTCACTCCGTTTGTTACAATCAGTCAACACCTTGAATTCAAAGTTAAAATTCAAAGCGATCTTAATAAAGAAATCTCTATTACTACTAAAAGCGTTGTACCTTGAAGCGACCTTAACTTTCTTAAGGTTTGCAGCAAAACACTGCTCGATAGCTCAACTCTTCTGCGGTTCTTATAGCCTATACGCAATTCTATGGGTGAAAATTGTTTAACAGAAATAGAAAACCAAAAACTATGTCTAAAAAGCGACATAAAATCAATAAATTTGCGAATTACCAAGATAGAGTGAGAAACAGTCCCGCCTTGGACCGCTATGTTGTTGTCCTTTCTCAAACCGTTAATCTATGGTTTTTGACGTAATGCGCATCAAATCCGCTGGCTAGACCCTTGCTATTCGCTTTGCAAGTTGTGCGAACATCGTTTGGATTTCATTTAAAAGAATGTATGGGAAGTACCTGCCCCCTCCCTCCTGGTGCTGTTAATGGAACTTTTTTGCCATCATTCAGGAAGGTGATTTGAAAAAAACCTACCGATGTAGGCCTTTCTAATTCTGTGGTATTGCGTAATCAGTGGCAATTGTGGCATTGGAATAGGCCATTTGCATGATGGCGTCATTTTACTACTATGACCAGGATCTTTCAGGGTTTTGCTTTCTTGTGCAAATTAGGGCTTTTGTTAATTAAACCTCACTGGGGCTACCAAATTTAAATATGAAAAAAAAAACCAAAAGAATTCTGGTCGTAGTAGTAAAATGACGCCATCGTGCAAATGGCCTCTTTGTGGTGGTGTTAGCAGTGGGTGTGGGGGGGGGGGGGGGGAGAAGGGGGGTGGGGCGCGGGGGGAGTGGCCCCGGCGGGCGGGAGGGAAGGCAGGGGGTACATTTTTTTGAAAAACAAAAAAACAAGAGGGCATAAAAGAAAAAAACAAGGGCGAGCATCCGTGAGGGGGGGGGAGGGGGGGGGGGGGGGGGGGGGGGGGGGGGGGGCAGTAATGGTGTTGGTAGCAGTGGTGGAGTCACCGCTGCTCGAATGCGAAGACAGTGGTTGATATTCTTGTAAAACCAAACTATTCAAACGGTTGAAGAACAAAAATGAAGCAGTGGAATTGCAGTAGGGGTGGTGGCGATACGGAGAGAGAGAAAACAGGGTTGTGAGAAAGTGGCAGTCTTGCAATGGTGGTGAATATGGTGTTAACGGTAGTGACACAAGTGGTGTAACACTTCAAGTTTAATCTTACTGCGTTCTGTGAATTGAACTTGTTTCCTACTATTCAGAACGCTGAATATAAAAAGCATCGACTCAAGAACGCTTTTGTAATTCTAGTGAACCAATCAAAAACACTATATAACTGTGGCACCACCTTCTAGCCAGTTATTAAACCAGCCACCACCACCTGAAAATAGAAAGTGAAAATAATTGATTGTCTCTCTATAAGCTCTTTGCATGACTTGATCACCTGATCAACATTCGGTAAACACGAAAACAGTTCACTTTTGAAACATTTTGCCAGCTCAAGCTGAAAGAGCATATTAAAATTAGATAACCAGAGAATTTTCAGCCGTATATCTCCAAAGCAACGATTGCAACGGCTGCCGAAAGTTGGAAGCATTTGTTTGAGAAAAACAACTTTTGCCATGCAGTCACACTTGCATGGTTTTCCATACAAATCCTTGTAATTTCGAAATTTTCAAAACTGTCATGAAATATTTCCTTAAGCATTACAGGAATCAAATCTCCTTTTAATTCATAACAGGTAATTTGAGCTCTTAAATGCGTAAGGGAAAGGTATATCGACAGTTTAAAAATTTTAGAGTTTACAAGGATTTGTATGGAAAACTATGCAAGCGTGACTGGATGTAGCCTGCAGTGTAGGCGTATTTTGCGTGGGCGAAGCCTTGTTCGTGTTCGTAATATTGTTGTGAAAAAAAAAACCTCGATATAACGAAACCTCGTTATAGCGAGCAAATTTCAGGGGCACTCAACGACTGTTTTCTGTAAAATATATCTTAGGAGAAGTAGATATTGCCTAGAATTTTCTATAGCTTGAGGACGCCTAAAAATTTCTAGATGACCGTTCCGTTCCTGTTCAATTTTCGAAGGTTATCTTATAAATTCCCTACGATTTTCTGAAGTTTAATTTTTCACATTTTACATCCCAGGTTAGGCTAATTTTTCATAGAAAAGAGGAAGCCTAAAATGTTCGGATTCAAACATGTGATTGAGAGAGGAATCAGAAAAATTCTCACTTTCATGATACGTTAAATTGCATCTAAAATTTTTGGGAAAATAATACTGAAGCCCTTGTAATTTCAAAAATGCTCACTGCAAGTTTCCCTAGGATGACCGAACAGGAACAAATTTTACAAGCCGCTTAGAATGCATTTCGAGAGATCTAATAGTATTCTGGGTACACCATTGAAAATTGTTTTCAATGAATTTAGAAGGAAACCGTCGTTGGGTGGCTCAGAAATTTTTTTAGGCCCTTGGCCCTTCGTTAAATCGAGGTTCCACTGTAGTCTCTTGTTTTCATCACGCTCGTTTTAAAATACGATTATGAATTCCTTACTTGTATTCTTAGGAAAAAGCGCTAAGTCGTAGTCTAAAATGTCATCCGTCTCTTCCCTCCACCCCCTAAGGGGCCACAGCAGGTTTCGGGGTGGGGCGAAGGCACGCATAACATTTCAGACTAGACATGGCGGGGCTAAAAAACCTGCATAACCTTTTAGCACCTCTTATGTTTAAATTTTCTGTAGTTCTGGCAAACTCGAACAAGTTTTGCATTTCTGAGGCACGTTTTGCCAAAATATAGGTTATGGCACATGTCAAGCCAGAAAAAGTGAGCAGTTTGATAGAAAATGTCAAGTACGACTGAACAACGCCCGTAAAAGCGCCCCTAATGACTCGGGCGGGAGGGGGAGGCTGGGTGGGGAGGGGAAACTCTGAAATTGAGCAAAGAGGACCTAGCTCCAAGCACACCGCCTGCTTTTTAGTTGTCCGTTTCCCTTGGCAATAAATTTTACCCACAGTGTCGAGCAACTCTTTAAAGGAGATTGCAAACCCGTATCCGTCAGGAACACTCAGCGGTGAAACCAAAGATCGCGCCCTCAAAAAACTTATTTTAACTTACTGAAAGCTGTTTTTTCTTGACCTATTTAACTTATCGTTAGGAAAGAAGAAAAGGAATCTCATAATTAGCGTGTGTATAAAACTACCAAGAAATCTCGAAATTCTGGGTTTTCTAAGAGAACAAATACTTTCGAAAAATTTAGGAGAAAGTCCGTGGACTGGAAATAACTCGCTATCAATTATCCGAAGATATCCGAATATCTCACTTTTCAAGCCCACGTTAATTCGCTTCATTTTTGAGGGGAGCCAACATTAGCCGCGCGACTGTTATTTTTTTGTGCCTGGGTATCTCACGTTATGCTTACGCGTATCCGCAAGTGTGTCTTACATCCTA